GCTTCGTCTTCCAGACGTCGTACTCCTCTTGATCTGCACATTCGATCCCAGTGGCCTTCTTTCTTACATTTATGGCATATTGATTTTGCTGCGGGACATTTTCTACCTTCCAAGTGATTTGGATATCCGCATCTACCGCATACCTGTTCCGTCCGGCGGGAAGTTTCTCCGTCGTTGCTAAATTTACGGCGAGAAAAATTTCTTCTCTTTTGGGAGACACGATCCATCTTCGTTTCTTCTTCCACTTCTTGTCTTAATTTCTTTCCCTCTCTCGCCTGTGTCTCTGCTTGACGGGCTATTTCAAGCGCTTTATCGACAGTTAAATCGTTTATCAATTGTAACTTTTCTGAAACTCGAGTATCTCGAACGCCTATTATTATACGATCACGAATTAGCTCATTCTTGATAGTTCCAAACTCACACGTCTCTGCTAATGAGTATAACGCCGTAACAAATGAATCGACGCTTTCTTCTGCTTCCTGTTTTCTTGAGTTAAACTTGAATCTTTCAAAGATGACATTCTTCTTTGGTCTGAAGTACGAGTCGAACTTATTCTTAACCAATTCAAATGTGGTAGAAGTCGTAATAGCCGGCATAATTTGAGTTAGTATTTCCTCGAATCTTTCGCCCATCGAATAGCATAATAAGTCTATTTCCTCCTTATCTGAACCTGCTGCTAACTTGCTCACCGTCAAATATCTCTCGAAACGTTTAATCCAATTCGACCATTGTTCTGGCTTACTGAAATCGAGTTCCCCCGATGCTTGGATGTTCACCGTAGAAGCCATTTTGAGGTTACCTTACAGCGATGCTTTATTCTTTTTAAACCTTTCCTTATGTACAGTTATACTTCTGTTCACTGGATCCCACTTCTGACACCATGTATTGAGAACGTTTAAGGAATAGGAAAGGTCGTCTATCTAATGGATTCAGCAATCAAATATGCTCTAACATGCTACTCGGGTGGCCTCTTGTTGTGCGTGCGTGCGCGCTCTGCCCCTCGACATACGCCCCCTACACGCTCACACAACACAAACTGTATCACCTCCACTTCTTTTTCATCACAATACGTTTTCCGTGCTTCAGATTCATGCTCAATACCATGTTTCATTTCTTTTGTAGGTTTGAAAACTTTCGGATAAAAATATTTTAACGCTTTGGTTTCCCATTGTGGTTTTTTATTTTTAGTGTAGGTATAGATACCGTAGCACCTTGCACCAGTAATACGAAACTGTCGGTGTTTTAACCAATTACTTCTGTCATGAAAAGTTTCTTCACATATTGTTTGAAGAGAATCTACAATTAACGAGCTTAAGAAAGACTGGCAGCATGTTCTGATTTCATATTTTAGTTTTAAAAGACTCTTCATGCTTTCAGATGGCAGATTTTGTAGAAGAGCTTGTAATTTATTAGGATTTATCACTAGATTATTGTTACTTTCAGGAAGCAATTCTTCGTGACGTCCACATCTACATATTAAAATAGTTAATTACAATAACCGATACATATCTAATGAAACCGATTATAAACCTCATTCAATCCATTTCAGAATAATCTTTGAGCACGATTCATTCAATACGATTTAATGGTACTGAAAAGGATTAACTCAGTTTCAATGTGATTCTGTAAGTTTTCTTCGAGATCTGTCGATTAATTTTAGTAGAATATGTCGTTTGTAATGAATCGTTTTCAATTTTGTAGTAAAAAATTCGATGAAATTAATTATCGTTGTACATTTCAGTATATGTAAAGCTTTAAAAATGGCCATGATTATTTTATAAACTTATATTCTGCTATTAGAAAAAGTATTACTTGTAAATAAATTTATATAAACATGATTAAGAGTAATTGGAAAAATTGTAAAAAGTTGTAAAAATTGTAATGAATATAAACTGATCTAAGTATATTATAAATATTTCTAAAATAAATGTCAACCATATAATTTGTAAAAAAATTGTTTTCAAAGTATTATAAATAAAAGAATTAATTGATAGCAATATAAATCTTAAAGTCATCGAAATTTGTAGATTAAAAAATATTGAATTATTAGAATGAAAATTAAGCATACATATGTTTCGAAAGGGCTGATTCTATATTGCTATTAAAAAGCAAATCTTTTATAAAATTTTCATCTTCTTCACTTATTTTCGTGGCATACTCTTTATCGAATGCATTAGTGAAGCATTCATGACTTCGTAATGGAGCTGGTTCATAATTTTCTAGTGCCTTTCTTCGTGGGATACTCCATAAACATTTTTTATCCGTACACGATGTTTCCTCCAAAGCTGTCAAATCAGTTCTACAATATATATAAAACAAATATTGGAAGAAAGGAACAACATAACCCAAAATACAATAAAACATTTTATTTAACTATTCAAATTATATAAACATTAGTTTTAAGAACAAGATAAAACATAAAACTTTGAAAATACTTACGTGTTTAAATGTAGTAAAACTATGTGCTTACATTTTGCGCTTAATCCAGCTTTGCAATTGCATTTAATTTCTTTTATTTTGCTATCAAAACTGATTTCACCTTTAATTTCATGAGTGTTTTAAGAACAAGATAAAACATAAAACTTTGAAAATACTTACGTGTTTAAATGTAGTAAAACTGCAACTATGTGCTTACATTTTGCGCTTAATCCAGCTTTGCAACTGCATTTAATTTCTTTTATTTTGCCATCAAAACTGATTTCACCTTTAATTTCATGAAGTGGTCCTTTCAAATTTGATGATTGCAAACAAAATGCAATCAATGACACACATGTTTCAACACCAGTCTGTTTACCGCAATATAATACATGTCCAGCACGTAGAACTTTTTCTCCTTCGGTAAAATTTCTACAGGAGGGTGTAGATGAAGTAAAGGCACAAATTTCTGCGATTCCGACCATGATTCCGACCGATAATTTGCTTTTAATTTGTACAAAAGTAGCAAACACAGATTCCACTCCATATGTTATAGTTAAACTGACCCCGTTGTGTCAGCCATGTTTGTTTTTCGCCTCCATATGACGTCACAATTTCAGATCCCTATTCAGGAGCCTTAAATTCGGTCCAGTTGTTTACGAAAAAAATCACTTTTTTTATTTCGTTTTCCCCTTGTATAACTCCCCCAAAAATGCAGTTTCAAGGCTAATTTTTGAGGACATTTAATATTTCAAGGATGGCAACTAATGACATTAATTTGAGTTCAATCAGTGTGGGGGCCGATTTGCTTATTTCGCTATATCCTTTTTAATTACTCTTAAAAATGTAAAAAATATAATTTTGATTATTTTATTTATAGAATGACGACTTGTCTACAAAACTAAAAGATTATCAAGCAGTTTCCAAGATTCATCAAGCGTTGACACCTGATATCACAGCATTGGAGTCAGAAATTCGGAAATTAAAGAATGCCTTGACAAACACAGAAAAAGCTAAAAAGGCAGACTTGGCACAGTGTAAAATGCGCTACGAGCATAGAATTACGGCGATCAATGATGAAATACAGGCAATTCAGAACCAATTATCACGATACAAGCGCGAACGAGATACTTACAAGCACATGTTGGAAGGCGCGCAAAAAACTATAGGCGAGCTAAAATCACCGAGACAAGGTAGACTTTCTAATGCATCTTCGGGAAGATCTGACGAGGTAAATTAACAATATATTCTCAATTCAATGTGCTTTGGGGTATCAATATATCAATATTTTTATATCTATTTTAAAGATTTTGAAGATATATTTTCAAAGAATCATATCTTTACTGTATTCTATCTTTTCTTTACTATCAATTTTTCGTTTGAAAAATATATTTTCCTGTTATTCTAGGATGAAGAATCATCGAAATCTAACATCTTAATACTAGAAAAACAAATCAGTTGTATGGAAGATGAACTTTCTGAGACAAAACTAGAAGTTTCCAGACTAAAGGCTGAATTAGTTTCGGAAAAATCAGATAGTCACGTTAAAGTTTCTGAATTGCAATCCCGAATTAACGAGGTAATTATAAATGAAATTTATTTGATTCAACTAATAAATTTCCAAATATGTATATCATTACTGATTCATTATGACTGCAGTTGGAAGAGGAACGGTTGCTCACTAGTGGACGCTCGAAGATTCCAGGATTAAAAGTGCGTATGGAGTTGGCTTGGCAAAAAGAGAGAGAAGAACATCAAAGGTTATTGCAAGAAACGGCAACGTTAGCGCGAGATCTGCGACAGACGCTATTCGAGGTATTGATTAGTAGTTCAAAATATGTATAAATAAGTTAATTCAAATTTTTTTACGACTTTACGAGCGTTATTTTTGCAGATAGAAAGAGAACGCAGCAAAGAGCGGCTTGAAAACAAAAGGAGACAAGATCAATTAAAGAAAGTATTTGACGAAGAAAAGGATGAAAATAAAAAAAAATTATCGGAGGTATTTAAATACTTGTACGAGTGTACTTTGGAAATATAGTAGTTAAAAGATTAATTTTCTTTTTTTGTTTGTAAATCGTAATTATTTAATTTTAGTTGCAATGTGATCTACTTGAGCTGCGGGACGCGCATGCGAAGTTAAGAACGAGCAACGAGAAAATGAGACGTGAAAAAGAGCGACACGAAAAGGAGAGGCAAGAACTCAAAGAAGTTATATTAAATAAATGCAAATTAGAGCAAACTGAATTGCGGAACATTAATATTCTTATGCAACAAGTACAAGATTTGTTACAGCTGTTTCCTGAATTAAATACCGTAACGGAGAACGGAAAATCCGATGTATACACGCCAACACCACCGAGACGATTAAAGGTATAAAAAATGAACATTTGTATATACTATTAATAGCAAATAAAACATTATATCAATTATTAACATATCATTAAAAACATATAATAATTCATTTTACATCTGTCTGCCAAACAGTTATGTCGTGTCTAATAATTTTCATTTAAATTTCATTAAACTGAACAGTTTAATAGAATCTGTACTACAACTATACAAAAAATCGTCCAAACTTGACAATCATTAAATTTAACAATTTGATGAACAAGATTGACTTCAATTTGGACATTACCACCTTAATTTAATTAAATACCTATATAGTTGTATGCGCTACCATCATAATTTTGTGTTTAATTGTTAATTTTATATTATTTTGTACTGAGGAAGACCTTGATCATAGGTCGAAACGTATACGTTTTATTTATTTTTAATAAATTGTAAGAAAAGTGCACACACCAATAACCTGTGTCGACTCACATTGGCCGGTATTCATAGTCGGTTCTTATTTTAAGATCGTCTTAAATAATGTCTTAAGATGCTAATGCAGCTGTCGGATTGGTTCATGACACCTCAAAATTGAACTTAAGACGGTCTTGAATATAAGAACTGACTATGGGTGTTTTCCAACAACGTACACAGATGACACAGTGTAACACTGTGTCTTACACAAAGTGTTCCAACTGTGACACAGTGTTACACTGCTCGACACTGTAAAAAGCTAAGTACGAACGTGTAGAGTATGCCAGTGTTACCAATTAGAGCTCTATCGTTCCAACAAGTCTTTACACAGTGGAGCACAGTGTAACGTTTCTGTGTCCTAGCTGGAAAACAGCCTATGGGTGTTTTCCAACAACGTACACAGATGACACAGTGTAACACTGTGTCTTACACAAAGTGTTCCAACTGTGACACAGTGTTACACTGCTCGACACTGTAAAAAGCTAAGTACGAACGTGTAGAGTATGCCAGTGTTACCAATTAGAGCTCTATCGTTCCAACAAGTCTTTACACAGTGGAGCACAGTGTAACGTTTCTGTGTCCTAGCTGGAAAACAGCCTATGGCTGCTTTCCTGCTACGACACAAGTAGACACTGTGTAACACAGTGAATCATTGCATCCCTGTTGTTTGCCTACGTTAAACGAGAATGAAATGATTCTCTGTGTTACACAGTGTCTGATTCTGTCCTTGCTGGAAAGCACCCTATGAATACCGGCCATTGGCATCTTGTTTATTTTTGCGATATAATTATTCGTTATTAGGGACCAAAATCCAGGGAGTCGTCGCCAATGTTAGAAACAAAAAGCGATGTCAAAGGTACTTTGAAATAAAGACTTAATTAATTGTTGTATATAATAATTTACTGTTAATGGTGTTTTAAATCGTTTGCAGCTGTAACTTCAATACTTGGTGAGAGAACAGAAAAATTAGAATATACAATTAAAAAATTAATGGACGTGGCGAAAGAACTTAAGGAATCAAAGAAAACGACAGATGAAACAAATGCAATACGATTGAAGAAATTAAGAAAGAGGTCAGTTTTCGTGATTTATAATCCGTCTAATTTCTTGTCAAACTATTCAGAGCGTGAAAAATATTATGTTGTTTTAGAGCGACGTCAGTAGAAAGTGATCCAGGAAAAGGAGTAGTGTTAAATTGTGGTAAACCACATTTGAAAAAAAAGAGTCTTTCTTTGGAGCAAACATCTGAGCATCAGGAGGTAAACACAGGATGCTTATTATACAGAAAATCTCTCTATGAAGTATAAGAAATAGTTTTCTGAGATAAAAGGCTCTATGCCAAAATTTGGCAGCCAAATGCGCTGTTTACATATCTTTAGTTCTCTGTACGAAATTTGGTTTCAAAGAAATACCAATTTTATTTTATTGAAAATGTTCTGGAATTGTAATCTTTCTTATTTTGATTATTATTATACTAACTTTTACATAAAATATAGTCTACGAGTATTTAGGGCACAGATAGCAATTTCTCTGTTTGAAATTTGGTTTCAAAGAAATACCAATTTTATTTTATTGAAAATGTTCCGGAATTGTAATTTTTCTTATTTTGATTATTATTATACTAACTTTTACATAAAATATAGTCTACGAGTATTTGGGGCACAGATAGCAACTTGTCGAGCATGCAATCATTGGAGGGATCAGAAATCGAATCTCGCGGAACTAGTCGACATAGAGATTCCAGTGTAGACAGGTATTGAAATAATATTTGTAATATTACATAATTTTTTGAAGTATATGCATAATACCGATAAATATATTTTATGATTATTATATTCAGTCGTCTTTCTGGAGGATCGACAAAGAGTGAAATGTTAGATCGGGACAAGAAATATGGCAAGAGTATAATACGAAAATTAACACACAAGTTAACTAAATCGTCTAGCATTGATGACCCAAACATGACTGACTATTCGCTTCAGGTAAGACGATATTTAAATATTCAAAATTATAATATTTTATATGCAAATAGAACTATTTATTAAAATGATTAAATACTTGACAGACATCTGGTTCTGAAACTAGCATCAATGAAACCCTTAAGTTGGAAAAGAAGAATTTAAAGAAGAAATTAACAGCAATGTTTAAAAGAGGTTCAAGAAGCAACAGGTACATTAAAAAATTGCAAATTACTTAATATACATAAAAATAGATAAAATAATTTATTATTAAAAAAATGAAAGTATGTATAACAATACAAGTTACAATACTTTTTCAGCATAGAGAAAAAGACTGGAACCAGCAATTCCACAAGACCAGCTTCAAGGAACTCCATGACATCGAATTAATAATCTACATGTGTGATCTTGCTAAGAGACTTGATATTTCGACTAGTCACTAGATAGGGAGGGAGAGACATTACATTCGATGACACTGTACTGTAATAAAAAAGCGGACTGCTCAAAATTCATATTTAGATATATCGGGATGATTTTAATAGAAAAATGCACGTACATGTCCATCCTCGTATGTCTATAACGTCTTAAATCCTTAAATAATATTTACAATGTTTTAATATCCAAAACAAGTAGTCGCCATTTAATACGTACATATATTTACCTTATAAAAATTTTTCACAGATAAAAGATGGCTCGTGAACATAAGTATGCGTAAAATATATCCTTTATACAATGTACAATCATTGGATAATATAATGTATAAGGTATTACTCTAATTGTATATATCTCAGAGTTATTTTAACCTTATATCCAATAAAAATTCTATTAGACCTTATATCAAATTACAAATCGTGTTAGATTTGTTGATACAATAAAAATTATAGTCTAAATATATATTTTTAATTTATGTTACAGCTGTACATCCTGCACTCGCTTGTAAAAGATACAAATCCTGGGGACATATGTTTATGACACCCAAGGATTTTGAAAATACGAAGGTTAGCAGTCTAATAAGTCTGGTAAGTAACACGAGACTGGGCTTGACTGAATGACCTACGGAATAAGCAGGGAGCGACAAAGGAACCCCACGGATCTAGGTCGCGTTAATAGGCTAATAAAGCCCACCTGCAATTAACTACTACTACTACAGCTGTACATATATATACAATATACAATACATATTGTGAAACAAACATCGCATAAATATTGTTTAATTAAACAATAATGTAATGAAATAGTTTTAATTGAGCATATATAAAGCATCTCAAATGTCTTATACATATATAATTATGATGCATACTTAAAAGATATTTTCATTACTTGATGGTAAATCGATTAATGTTATTTAAATCATCAAGAAATAAAATAAACAAAAATCAACGTTTTGAATGTTTCTCTTTTTTAGATTTTTTCTTATACTTGGGACTCTTATATTTATCTTTCACCTTATGTTTATGTTTCTTCTTCAATTTTTTCACCTTGTCTCGTTCCACCCATTTTCCACCGAGTTTTGAATCCTTCGTAGTTTTCGATACTACGACACTTCGAAATACTGGCTTAAACAGTTGATTAGTATCATCAGCTTCTGTCGTTGTTGCAGTACTGTCTTGTTTCAATAATCTTTGTGGCAGGACCGGACCATACATATCTGGCAGTATGGCAGTCTCTTTGTCATTAGTTACATCGTTATGATGCATAAAATCATTTTGTGATTCATCAGTAACTAGCGATTTAGTTTCTGAAATTTCAGACAGCTTACTTTCGTCATTATTAATGTGTTTTGGTTGTGTCACCAAGCTGTCGAGATCTAATTTTGCAAAGATTCCTCGTGGCGGCGATATATTGCGTTGCACATTTATCTCCTTCGGATCTTTTCCAATCAAAATCGACTTAACAGTTTCGTTGTCAACATTATCCTCCGTCTCGCTGTCGGAATTCTCACTGCTGCTGAGAAAGATCGCCTTGAATAGATCTTTCTTTTCTTCGGATTGATCTTTAAGCGCAGACACCGGTTCAAAAGGTGTTTTTTCTTTTACTTCTTGAATTATTTCATTTTTTAAGTTATTTTCTGTAGTTTGTTTGACATCTTTTGATGTTGTGGAAGAAATATTTTGAATATTTTTACCGAAAACTTTTTCATAGGAAGCTTCGAAAATTCTAAACTTTTCAGACATAGGTTCTAAAAGTTGATAAATATTAGATGGAATATTGTTGACGCCAATGAAAATCGTTTCATTAAATTTTTCTTCAGTTTTCCTTGACGGCAGAGGAATTTCTTCAACTTGAGTCTTAATTGTATCCACAGATTTTGTGAATTTTGATGAACTGTACCAGTCCAAGGAATCAAAGATTGAGAATCTGGCTGATTTTCGATCTGTTGCAATCAATGCACATCCAACTTTCGGTTCAGGAATATTGAATCTCTTGCAAACGATACTCATCGGCTTCCATTCGCTCCGTTGTCGGGTAAGTTTGCCGAACATTTTTAATCTCACTGCTTTCTTTATATCCTCTTCCAAATCTATTCTGTCCGTCGTATCATTAGCACTATGTACAAACTTATCCGCCATATAATTATTCGATTGTTCCAGTTTTATCGCTTGCTCAAATTCCTCGCGTTCTAGCTCCCTCTCCCAATTAGTCATAGAAAGTGGTTGAATACTTTCAAATTTATCCTTTTCGCCGTTTTTTGAGAAAATAAGATACTGCTCGAATCGTTTCTGTTTATCTGAATTAAACAAGAACAACTTCCTTGTTTCACTCTTATTTGAGGAACCATTCTCTATTAATTTATCCGTGATAAAACTTGATTGTGCAGATAAAGATTCTTTAAAGTCTTCCAATTTCTTCAAATTACTCATATCGTCTTTATTGGAACCGACGATACCTCCTTTGACAAAGTTTTGTGTATTTAATTTGTCTAGCCAAGAGTTGCTTGTTGTCTTCTGCTGCGTCTCTAATTTTCTTCTCTCTTCTGTTTGTTGTTTACCATGTAAATTCAATGTTTTTGAAATAATATTAGATGCAACGGATGTGCTTGACAATCCTTGTGACTTTTTCGAACATTCATTAGGATCTTCCAAGATTCGCCCTCTATCTGTGGCATTCAATGGTTCCTTGCGTTTACTTTCTACTGAAGTTGTAATCGGCGGATAAAACCTACTTTTCCTAATAGTATGTACCGGTACAAAATTCTTCGGCAATTCTGGAGGTTTGAAGATTTTTTTGCTCTCTAGTCTCTCTTTCGCGTAAATAAAATTGTCCAGGCAATCAGTTTGTGAGCTACTCGGTTTTTCCTGAGACCATCTTGTTTTTGCCTTACACTCAGGTCCCAAAGCAAAGTCGTAACGCGACATGTCTTCTTTCTCGTATATATCTTCGTCGTCAGCCTCGAAGGCACCAACTCCAAACGCCTGGCCATGAATCGATAATTTCTTGTTTTTATCTTGAACGCAAAAAGCCGGACCGTCAAATAAATTGATGTGACTGGAAAGGACTTTCCGCCTATCTAAGCCCGAGTAACCAATGCCAAAATAATTATCTTTCGGTTTGCACCGGAATGGCTCATAATCGTCAGGTGCAAAAGTAATATTAGTTGACTCATCATCCGAATCCTCAGAATTGCTTTCTATCATTTCGGGATTGTTCTGTGCTAGTTTTAATTTTTCATTGCGCAGTTTTATCTTCTGTTTTTCTTTCTTTGTCAATCTGGAACCTATACCTTGACCAGGTTTCCATCCCATTTTTTTTAACAGGACAATACCCACTGTTTCTCTATAATTATAAGCAATTAAATTTATTAGAAATCAATATAACATTAAATCTAAATGGAATACAGATTAAGTACGCCAATAAATAATTAAAGCACTCCTCTGTTTTTTTTCTCTTAAACAAAAACATACCATTAACAATTTAAATTAAAAACTAACAAAACTTAAGTGACATTATTAAATAATATAAATAAAAAAGAGGCAAAGAACCGACGATGTAACAAACAAAAACTTTAATAATAATAATATATAGGTATAAATACAAATGATCGTATCATATTTAATGTTACAGTAAAGACAAATAAATTTGTTATTATCTGATGAATGTTCAAAATTCATTATCCTTCTAAAATTATTTTGTTCGTGTTCTGATGCTTTGAGTCAATTAATTGAAAGGTCAAATTGTACGTGATATTCTAAAAATAATTATGAACAAAATAATCAATACAAAATTAACAATAATTATAATATGATAGTGTACCTTGTCATTAATATATGGTGATGATCCGTAAAACAGATAAAAAAATTACAAAATATAAATAATTCATCGTCACATAAAATTTTTTAAATTGAGGCTAATTTGCATGAATGTCAAACAACTTAACTAAACCACGTCAGATAACGCAATGTTAAAAAGGAAAACATATGATCACTGAAAATGTGGGAAAAGAGGGAAAAAAGGAAAAATATTAGGAATGGGAAAGAGAATGTATCATGTTAGAATACATCTCTGGATTCACATCACGGATTCATATCTGTGTCGTTTTGTTTGTTTATTCCATGTTCTGTTTCTTTATGTGTACTTTCAAATATTAATCTTTTATTATATGTAGATTCTATGTCTAATATCTCTACTTTGTCCCATTTAAAGTTATTGATTTATCTCAATGCGGTGGTTAGAAATGGCCGAAGGAGTCAACTTTGAAATTTTATTAATATCTGAAATGTGCTCATGCACATTTTTTTAACTGCCTTTTTGTTTGGCCAATGTAACTCGCGTCACAATCATCACACGATATTTTGTAAACTACATTCTGATTGTATGCTTACGTTCCAGCCTTATGTTCCAGCTTATCCTTATCTCTTTTTATGAAATTTTTTAGTGTATTGGAATTGGTGAAAGTCAGTTTGCAATTAAACATATTGACAATAGGTTTCAATTTTTTAGAAATTGTATTGACATAAGGAATAGTGATAAACTTTTTTGTATTAATGTTATTGTTATTAGAAATATTATTATGAAATTTTATTCTATTTTAGATAGTTAAAATGGTTTACATAAAGAAACAGAAACATGGAATAAACAAATAAAATGACACGGATTCACTGCCAGAGATGTAGTCTAACATGATACATTTTCTTTCTCATTCCTAATATTTTTCCTTTTTTCTCCCTTTTCTCACATTCTCAGTGACCAGTATGTTTTCCTTTTTAACATTGCATTATCTGATGTGGTTTAGTTCAGTTGTTCAACATTCCTAAATTAGCCTCAATTTTAATAATTTTATGTAACAATGAATTATTTGTATTTTACAATTTTTTTATCTGTTTAACAGATTATCACCATATATTAATGATAAGGTACACTATCATATTATAATTATTATTAATTTTGTATTAATTCTTTTGCTCTCGCAATTATTTTTAGAATATCACACACACACACACACACACACACACACACACACACACAC